GCGGGCGTCGCTCGGGCAGTTCGCGCGTCGCGCGCAGGTCGCGCGCAAACCGCTCGAAGGGCGCCGTGGACTCCCGGCGGCGTGTGAACTGCACGGCCCGCCAGCGAAACAATCAAGGGATGCGCGCGGCAATCGTAGACATAGCGAGACACGCACGTGAGAACTACGAACGCGAGGAAACCAATAGACGACATGGAGATGCAGCGCGTACGGACTTATCCATTTCAAGCGCACGCCCCGTCAGATGTTGAGCATCGGTCCGTCGCTGCAGCAATTTGGCGACGTCTCGCCCGCCGACGCACTGGGGTGGGAAAAGAGGATGGAAGTGAGGCGAGGGAAGGGCGGGCGGGAACGGGGACGGACGGGCGAGGAGGGGGCGCGCGGGGGCGGCGCAGCGGCGGCGGGAGCGATGGAAGGCGATCGAAGGGGGGCGGCGGGAGCGAGGAGGGCGAGAGGAAGTTCCAGGAGGGTGGAAGGACAAAGGGGGGCGAGTAGGGAGGCGGACAAGACGGCAGCCTGACACAAAAGAACTGAATACAAATTTCGCACACGGGACAAAACGCGCAGCGCGTTGGACGAGGAGAAGAGGAAGGAAGAAGGGGGGGCAGGAGGATTGGCGCGAAACGACATGGGGGCGCGGGGCGCGATGCGACGGGGCGAAGCGGCGCCGCGTCGCGCGACGCGACGCCACCCCCGCCGCGGCGCGACACGCACAGCCCCCAATCAACGCGAGGCGTCTTCGTCCTCAGCAACGGTTGGCGCCCCCGAAAATGAGCACCAGCAAATCCTCTTGCGCCGAATTGGGAACAGAACGCGTTGGTGGACCGTCGAACTAGAGCGCGCCGCGACCGCCAAAATGGCCGCTGGCGCACCGGCGTCGGAAACCTATATATCGCCAGAGAAATTCCGAAGTCCCGCCATATGTCGCCCACGCACTCTAGGAGGCCGGGATTCGGGACAGAGACGCAAACCAGGGCCGGCGAACGGGCGACGCTCGGGCGACGCACTGAACGAAACTTAAGGGGGGGGGTCGCTTCACTGGGCCTGAACGACCGACCGACTAGTCTGAATCAACGCTCGCTTTCGGGCTCACCCGAGCCTTCATCGCCCTGATGCGGGTTGCCCAGCGACCGCCCTCTTCTCGGCGACCCCCTCTGCTCTTGCGGACGAGGACGCCGCCCGCCGCTTGAGCGGGCGCGCGAGAGCCTACGCGAATGACTCCGCTGGAGATAGCGTGGCGGATTGCTCTCAGCCCCCCACTCCTCGCCATCGTCATCAGCGCGCCCCGCGCGTCTCCTAGCAATGCGGCTCGAAGAACGGCCACGTAGCACAAAGGTAAAGTGAGAGCCTGCATTGCGTCCGAGTCCGCACTGGATCCGCTCAAAGAGGTCAGAGGGTCGTCGTCGCAACTTACCCTGCACGCAGGGCTCCCAATCACCTGCGGTCGGGGCGCCACTTGGAGCCTCCTCTCCGTGGCCGGTATCGCGTCATCCGCAGAACTACGCGGCTCGCCACCGTCGGAGTGCGCAGGTACCCCCGCCATCTCTTGATCCGAGTCGGCGGGTGGTTGGTATTCCTCGATGATCTCTACGCGCGCAGGTTGCCCCGCGATAGGAATGCCCGGCCAGTCTGCGAGATCGACCCATCGTGACCAACGTAGACCTCCTCGAAGAGCTCCTCGGCAACCCCTCGAGGGACACGCTGGCGCTCATATACCTCGCGGACGTGAAATGGACAGCGGCTGGGGGGTTTGATTCTGGTTCGGCAACGAGGGTCTCCCAATCGACACACTGAATGTCAGAATCCGTTTGAGTCAAATGCATCGACGGACCCCTGCCTCCCCCGTCGCCTCGGGGGGCGCTCACGACGAAAATGCTGAGCGCAATGGCAGATATCACATTCCATGGTTTTCCCGTTGGTATCTTTCGGGTTACCCCGATGTCCCGTACCTTTTCCTGAGGTGCGCCCACGGCCTCTACTTTTCCCCATGAAGATGTCCTCCTACTGTGGTCCCGCAAGGGAAGCCAGGAATGTTTGCATGCCTCTACCACGCAATCGCCGTCGTTAACCCATACCTCGACCCTTACCCTCTGACCTAAAAACCCGTCGGACTGCACGTCGCACCCATCGAACTGGATTCTTCATAAACATATCCATCGGCGCTTGTGCTTCTGGTATCTCAAGAATATCCACTGCGCCTGCTGCTCTTCAGTGAGATGCACGGGCATGTCGGAAAAATCAAGGTTACCAATTCCCTCATCTGACGAGGTGTCCGCGCCGGCGCCAGAGTCAAATTCGGACTCTGCGTGTTGCCCCGCCGAGCCAATGAGGGCCGCGGTTTGGGCAGGGGCCGCAGTTGCCGACAGTCCCTGATATCCCCTGATATCGAGCCCAGGAGTCTCGCGACCCCGTGGGCTGGCCAAACCGTTGGCCTGATAGAGTGGTGGCCTCGTTACGTTGTAGATCGTCCTTCCAGACGATGCTGACAGGTTGCCCCGCACGAGTGTCGCCACGAAAGACATCAGCGCGGTGGCCGCGGCTAAATACACCACCAATGTTGCCAGGGGTTCGGTCAACAATACCGGCGCAAGCCCTCATGCGCTCCAGTAAGGCGTCGCACTGCTGCTAGGTCCTAAGCATTTGGTGGTTCAATGGTTGCGGTATTTGCTGCGCACGCGAAGTACCGACACCTAGGGCACTGAATGGTATGACTGTCAGGACCTGGAAGTTTGGGACGTTGGCCCCGCGGCGTCGGCTTCGAAGCGCGCCATGTCGAAGCGGGCCAGCGCCTGGTCGATCCGCTCCCCCGCAAGGACGCGGAAGTCAATGAGAGCCGTCCCCGAGCTAAGTTGTCGTTCCTCTTCCTGGTTCTCAAACTTAATGCTGAGGAAGAACATCCTGCAGGTGACGCCGTCGGTGCGGCGACCACCAATGTTGATACCAAAATTGATGACTGCAGGGGGGACTCCCATGACGATGGTCCTGGTGAGACCTTTCAGGCCACGCTGTAGTGCGGCGGTCTGATGGGATTGGGTCATAGCGCCCGTGGCCATGTTGATCCACGCATGTACCTCGCGAACGAACTCGTGTACAGGTACATTACCGGCAGGGCCCCAGTGGGGGCCGGTAGTACATGTGTCGTCTGCACCGCGCTGCATATGCCCAACAACACATCCGATGGCGACCCAAAGAACGTCAAAGATGGTGATGCCAATCCAACGGCACCGTAGGTCGGGGTCAGTTGTGTGTGGCTGTTGTTCGTGAGGTGACGTCGCCGTCAACTTGTGAGGGGGTGGAGGCGGCACGATATCGTATCGCATGTGACCTTGCATCGTATCTTCGAAGAAATTGCCAATCGGCGTAGGTGGGTGGATTTCAGGAGTGGAGTAGCGCGGAGAGGCAGGGCTCAGGTAGGAGACCTCTTCGTGAGCAGAGGCAGACATGCAAGTGTCCTTGCGATGGTATAGAGCTCCTCCGAATAGAGCCCCTTCACCCTGATGTTCCACCATGTCGGTTGTCCACCAGATAGCGCCGTGGATTGTGAGGAGAAAAACTAGAGCTGACCATCAACGGCCAGCCCCGCTACCAAGTTTGAAACTAGTCGGGAGGCCCAACCAAATGCTTCGCATAAGGCGAAGCATACGTCCAACCCTGTTGTACCGTAGCAACGATAGTCCCAGAAGTAGGAGAGAGCCGCGGGAGCGGCGATACATCTAAGCGAAAGGGATGATGCCTTTTCGGCCTCGACGTATGGCAATGCGGCAATGCGCCTCAGAGGCACAGTCAAATAGGTAGGCGGTCGCTGGGCCGAAATGGCCGCGGACAAACGCTCGATACATTTCGCCTTTGCCCAGCCTCCTTTATAGTATCACAACATCGTCGAACATATCATGGTACAGCATACCATCGCAGTGAGTAGCATAGCTGAGCATAGCGTAGCATGACATAGTATGGCATGTCCCACCAGCCCTCTGGACGACAGGTGGTGTAACGAGGGTGTCTTTCCTCTTACACGACCCCTCTTCCCTTCGGGGAGGGGAACCTCCCCCTCCCCTCCCTGCGTTTTTTGGGGAGGGGGCCCGATGAGTCAGAGGGTCCGTTTTCGGCCCCTGGGAGGGTCTCATTTTGACTCTGCTCACGAGGATGGTGGCCCCCGAGGGGGGGAGCCACATCGAGGACCGCCCTCTGTTGACAGACCGCCGCCAAGATGGCCCGAAGAGGCCCTCCAGGGCTCCCAGGAGGCCCCCAAGAGGGTCCCACGAGCGCCCCAAGAGCACCTGAGAGGCCCCCAAGAGGCCCCCAAGAGGCCCCTGAGAGGCCCCCAAGAGGCCCCCGAGCGGCTTCAGAGAGCCCAAGATGATCTCCAAGATGGCTCAAGATAGCCCAAACGAACTCAAGATGGCTCCCAAGATGCTCCAAGAGGCCCCAAGACCGCTCCAAGACGGCTCGAGATGGCCACGGAGCCTCCCCAGGAGGCCGCCAAGAAGCCACGCGGGCCCGGAGATGGCCCCAACACGCCGTCCAGGCCGGCCTCCCTCGCTGTTTGACTATGCGTGTCTCTTCCTCTCTCTCCCCCCGTCAGCTCTCAGGGGCATCGTTTCTGGATGGGCTGGAGGGGATACTTTTTGGAACGCGGGCGCGCGAAACGAGTCGAACGCTGGGCATGGCTGGAGGGGATACGCGAAGCGTCAAAGATTGTCTGAAATCGCATAGCATGGCCTAGCATAGCATAGCGCGGCTCACCACATCATTGGTAGCACTGCACTGGTTCGCACAGTACAGCATGGCTAGCAGCACAAATGGCATGGCATAGCAGAGTCACGCATGACATAGCGCAGAAGAGCATTGCAAGTCATACTCTGGCTGCATATCGTAAGATGGCATGGCATAGGTCTTCGGAGAACCCCAGATGCCCCATGGGCCAAACACGTACGACACTACATCTTGCTTTTTGGCGGGGGGGGGAAGGGGGTTCAAGGGCGCACGCCAGAGCGGGCGGCCTGCACGTCGAGCACCCTGATGTCCAGCTCGCCCCGCGGGAGGTCGTACTGCATCTCCGCGCCCAGGCACCACGGCTCCAAGAACGGCTCCCACACGCTCTCCCCCTTGCGGGCGCCAGGAGGTTCTACGCATACGCGGCCGAGGGCGAGCAGTGACGGCAACGACAACGGGCTCGGGCGAGGGCCCGACGATTAAGAAATAAATCTAACATCGCAATAACGTATTAGATTACACCGAAAAGGAGGAGGACGCATATGACGTAACAATGAAGCCGACTACAAAGAATGACAAAAGTGGGTGCATGAATAAGAAGAAGAATAATAAAAGTAAGAAGGAAAATAATCAATATAAAGTAATAATAATAATAAGAAGAAGAAGAAGAGAGGGAACAAAAAGAAGGGGGGAAGGAGAAGGAGAAGAAGAACGCCCTCCTGTCTGTCGCTACCCCGTCTCTCCATGGCCTCCACCCCTGCCCCACGGCCCCTCTCCCACACGCAAGGTGCTACCCGAACGATATTCCACTGTTCTGTTCTGTCTTGCTGCTGAGCACGTATAGCTTTGTTGTTTGTTGTGTTCTCGTTGTGGCGTTTCGAACAACTCCGAACAACGATCAAGCCAGAACAAGGCACGACGCGCCAAGAGCACTCGGAACGCAACAAACAACATTTCAACATAACAACACATCATTTCAAATGAAAAACGAAACGCGCAACAAAACGCAACGCCGGCCCGACAAGAACAAAATGAACAACCAAGCACAAAGGCGCCGAAACGAAAGGGGGAAAATACAAGGGCGCCAAATCCAAAGGGCGTCGGAACAGAACTAAACAAAACAAGGCGGAAGCGAAAGAGCAGGGGGTAAAAACGAAGCGGGGGGTGGGGGGAAGCGAAGACGGACAGGGAAAGGGAGGGTAAAGGCAAAAGAAGGGACAGGAGGTAAGCGAAAGTGGAAAAGAAAACATAAGAGGAGAGGGAGCGTAAGGGGACGGTGGAAAGCGAAAGCGGAGAGGGTAAACGAGAGGGAAAGCGCGAAAAGGAAGGAAAAAAAACATGGCCGCCTACAAAAGGCGCCGAACAAAAAAACAAGGGCGCCGAAAAACAAACGAGGGCGCTCCAAAACAATAAGAGGGCACCGTGGCAAAAATCTTGGGGCTCCCAGGACCGAAACCCAAAGATATTTGACGTGGCAGCCACCCGAGCCCACGGGGGCGCCATGTCAAAAATCTTAAGGTCCCCAGAGCTGAAACCCAAGGATGTTGGACGTGGCGGCCCCCAAGCCCACGGGGGCACCATGTCAAAAACACTGGGGTTCCCAAAGCCCAAACCCAAGGATTCTTGACGCGGCGGCCCCACTTCGCCAACGGGGTCGCCATATCAAAAGTCTTGGGGCTCCCAGAGACACAGTTCAAGGATTTGTTGAGTGGCACCCCCCCCGAGCCGAAGAGGGCGCCGTGTGAAAAATCGGAAGGTCCCAAAAACTAAAAACCGTGGGGGTCCCCAGGCCTAACCCCAGGATTTTTGACGTAGCGACCCCCCGAACCCACGGGGGCGCAGTGTCAAAAATCTGATGGCTCCCAGGGGCGGAACCTCAAGATGTTTGACATGGGGGCCACCCGAGCGGCCCTGGGTGGCCCTCGGAGGCCGTCGGCAACCTTTGCCGGCCCCCCGAGCCCAAGTGGGCACTGTGTCAAAAATCTCGGGGTTTCAAAAGCCAAAAAAACACTGATTTTTTACGCGGCGGCCCCCCGAGCCCACGGGGGTGTGGCAAAGCTTGATTCCCCCAAGGCCGAAACCACAAGGTTTTTGAAGTGCCCGCCCCGTGGTCCCCCATGGCGGCCCTCCGAGCCCACGGGCCGCCGTGTCAAAAATCTCAAGGTGCCCTAGCCGAAACCCCAAAAGTTTGTCGTGGCGGCCCACGGACTCCGTGGGGGCGCCTCTTAAAAAATCCTGGGGCTCCCAAAGCATCAGCCCCGCGACTCCAACGAAGGACCCATGGGGGCCCATCCGGGAGGAAAGAACTTCTGGGGCGCGCCCAGGAACCCAGGGGGTCTGGCTTCCGCGGAGGAAAGAAAAGTTCCTGGCGAGGGGTTCGAGCACGGGGGCTACCCCCGCCTCAAATTCTGGAAGGGGAATGAATTCTCAGCCGCGGGGGTGCCCGCGCGAGGGGTCCCACCCATCCCAGCACAACCAGAGGAGGAAAAGCGTGAGAGCCCAGATTGTAAGTGCAATGCAGCAACACTCTAGTAGCGGTTGTACTAGGGAGTTGTACTAGTAAAAGGGAGTTGTACCAGGGAGTCCTACTGGGAGTTGTACTCGGGAGTTGGACTAGTACTAGGGAGTTGCACAGGGAGTTGCACGAATGGAATTGCACTAGGGAATTGCACTGAGGAGTTGTACTAGGGAGACGCACTAGGGAGTTGTACTAATACTAGGGGGTTGTACTAGGGAGTTGCACTAGGGAGTTGTACTAGTACCACTTGTTCCAGGGAGTTGGTTTAGGGCATTGTAGTAGGGAGTTGCACTACGGAGTTGCGCCAGGGAGTTGTACTGGCACAATAATACTCGGTCCTCTAATACTTGCAGAGCAGGACAATGCGCTCTCTAGGAGAGATGGCGCGCTAGTACATGCCATTACCAGTCGTACTCAAATACTAGATGTACGGTAGTCGGAGAAGTTCAAGGGTTCCAGTGGCAACTCGCGCGCGGCAAAAGGAAAGAAATCCATGCGCCGCCAGGGGTCCCGGGTTTAACGGGTCGCCGCGAAAAATGACCCCCCGCGAAAAGAAGAAAAGAAAGCCGGCCAGTGGGTTGGGGGGTTCAGGCATGAGTCGCGGGGCTGATCCCAAAGCCAAAACCCTCGGATTCTTGACGTGGCGGTCCCCCGAGCCCACGGAGGCGCCATGTCAAAAAATCGTGGGGGTCCCAAAACCGGAGCCCCAGGATGTTTGACGTGGCGGCCCCCTGAGCCCACGGGAACGCTGTGTCAAAAATCTTGGGGCTCCCAAGGCCAAAACCACAAGATTTTTGACGCGGCGGCCCCTCGAGATCAAGGGGGCGCCGTGTCAAAAATCCTGAGGGTCCAAAAACCAAAACCCCAGGAGTTTTTACTTGTCGTCCCCCCGAGCCCACGGGGGCGCCGTGTCGACAATCTTGGGGCTCCCAACTCCACAACCCGAGGATTCTTGACGTGGCGCACCTCCCAGCCCACGCGGGCACCGTGTCCCAAATTCTGGGGCTCCCAAAGACCAAACCCCAGGACTTCTGCCGTGGCGGCCCCCCGCGTCCACGGGGGCGCCGTATCAAAATCCGAGGAACCCAACGCCCAAACCTCGAGATTTCTGACGCGGCGGCCTCCAAAGCCCCGAGCCCACGGGGGCGCCGTGTCAAAATCTTGGGGCGCCCAAAGCCAAAACCCCCATAGTTGGTCTGTGGCGACCCTCCGAATCCGAGCCCACGGGTGCACCGTGTCAAGAATCTGAAGCATCCCAAAACTGGAGCCCCAGGTTTTTTGGACGTGGCAGCCGCCCGGAACCGCGGGGGCACCGTGTCAAAAGTCTTGCATATTCCAAAACCAAAACATCAAGATTTTAGACGTGGCGGTCCCACGAACCCACAGGGGCGCCATGTCAAAATTCTTGGGGTTCCCCGAGCCAGAACTCCAGGATTTGTTGAATGGTGCCCCCCCGGGCCCACGAAGGCGCCGTGTCAAAAATCTTGGAAGCGCGGCCCCCCGAGCCCACGGAGGCGCCGTGTCAAAAATCTTCGGGCTCCCAAAACAAAAACAGGATTTTTGACGTGGCCGCACGGGGTGCACACGCGGGCTTCGTTTCGAAAATCCTGGGGGCTCTGAAGCCTAAACACGAAGGGTTTTGACGTGGCAGCCCACCGGGCCAACGGGGGCGCCGTGTCAATAATCTCAGGGTTCCACAAGCAAAAACCCCAGGATGTCTGACGTGGAGGCCCCCCGAGCCTTCGGGGGCAACGTGTCAAACATCTTGGGGCTCACACTGCCAAAACCTCAAGAATTTCAACGTGGCGTTCCCCCGAGCTCACAGGGGGCCAAAAATCTTGGGCATTCCAGAGCCGAGGAAAACCCTAGATGTTTGTTTGACGCGGCGGCCCCCCGAGCCCACGGGGGCGCCGCATCAAAAATCGTGGGGCTGCCGAGGCCAAAACCTCAAGATGTTCGACGTGGCGGTCGCCCGAGCCCACGGGGGCGCCGCGTCAAAAATCGCTGGGCCCCCGAAGCCACAACCCCAAGATGTTTGGCGTGGCGGCCCCCCGCACCCACGGGGGTGCCGTGTCAAAAATCTAGGTGCCCCCAAGGCCAAAACCACAAAGTATTTGACGCGGCGGCCCCGCGGGTCCATGATGGGCGCCGTGCCAAAAATCCTCGGGCTCCCCAGGCCAAAACCCCAAAATGTCTGACGCGGCGGCACCCCGAGCTCGCGGGGGCGCCGTGTCAAAAGTCCGGGGGTCTCCACAACCAAAGCCTGGAGATGTTTGACGTGGCGGCCCCCCGAGCCCACGGGGGCACCGTGCCGACAATCTTAGGGTTCCCAGGGCCGAAACCTCTAGATTTTTGACGTGGCGGCCTACCAGGCCAACCGGGGGAGCCATGTCAATAATCTCAAGGTTCCCAAGGCAAGAACCCCAAGATGTCTGACGTTGCGGCCCCCCGAGCCCACGGGTGGCCCGTGTCAAACATCTGGGGTGTCCACTGCCAAAGCCAAAATGTGCTGTACGTGGCGGCCCCCCAAGCTCACAGGGGCGCCATGTCAAAAATCGTGGGACCCCCAAGGCCAAAACCCTCGGATTCTTGACGTGGTGGCCCCCCGAGCCCACGGGGCGCCGTGTCAAAAATCTTGGGCAATCCAGTCGAAAACAAGCTGGTAAGCTTAGGTACGTGTTACGCTTTAAGCGTTGCCATATCCCAGGCTTTGGCTCATATCGCATGAGCAAGAGAGCAAGACGAAGCATGGGATCTGGAGTAAAGGATAGGATGGGCATCGTCAATGGAAAAGGTATTTTCCGATCTCTGATGCAAGTCGTGCGCCTCGGTGAGGCACAATCACATATTTGGCCGGGCCCGGCTTGAGCCAGG